TTCCAAAACAGCTAACCAAACCCAACAATAATTATCACTCATAGAMAATAAGGTTATCCAATAAGTTTATGGAGTGCTGAACTTATAACATATTGCAAGTAAATTTGAATAAATGTGAATGTGAGTGTTTCCACAGTCATGTAGTATATTTGACCTTCACAACTGATAACTATGTGGTATCAAGTAAACTAGGGAAACACTTTCTCAGGTGAGTCCCATTTTTCAATAAAAACAATTTTTATATATGATTTAATCACGAGACATGTAATATTGTTATATGACCTATTATTTGTTTCATGACACATGATATTATCAAAAAATTGAAACTGCAAATTATAAAGTAAGTTATGACGACCCATATTTCAACATACCTTTGCATGATCCGTTCATAGATGGACACACAAAAAATAGATTAAACTGGTCAACGAGCTCAACCACACTTGAAGCTGTAGCCACAAACAAACCCTCTTTTACTTTTATTCTGCAACAAAAAGACGCCCTTAACATGAATAATCTAAAGTACAGAGGGAAAAAAAATAAGGGAAAACTTACTCAGATGTGTTATTATTTGCTGGTCGTTTCGCAGCTTTGGATGGGGGCTCGTATTCGCAGTCTGTATCCTCGCTATGAAGATGAAATCATACAAATAAACATAATAAAATGGTTTTAAAATATATTACATATGATATGAATTTGAACGCCTGTTTCACGTTTGATTTTTCAGTTTGATTTTAGAAGTAATAGCTGTCAACTCCACTTTATATATACTTATACTTGCGAGATGTTTACACAATGTGCCGCTCTCAAAAATCGAAATTTACTTACTCAGTAATTAATTCTTTCGATGCAGGCTGATAGTCTTCGTCCGATTCGTCACTGACATGGCTATCATGAGCAAGATCTTGCTCTGGATCGATCGCTACCTGATGATAAAGTCCTTCACGTTTCAGAACTTCGACCACGTGGCTGCTCGACTTTAGCGTTTTTCCAGCCGGTGAAACATAAGAAAATAAAACTTTCACTTTGCCTTTGCTTACTATGTCTTTTCGCTTTACAGTCCAACCAATTTCTTTGAGTTTTTCAATGTCAAACGGAGTTCTAGAGCCTTCTCCAACGCCACGATAGACATTCAACGAAGAAGCCATGTTGTGAAATATGAGTAATCCTTCTGTCAACAAACATTATGTAGTAGGTGGCGTTGCCAGGCAAAGGTCACAGCGGGCATATGATTGGTTTTCCCGGCAAAACAAAAGATTGCTATGACGCTTATTCCCTTTTTTAGATGAGTTTTTGTACAGTGACCGCTGTCAATAGGTATTGCTGGCACCAGGAGAGCAAGGCCTTCAAAATGGCGCCCGAACTTCGAAGTTTGTCCATTTCTGGAGAAAATGGCAAGCTATTTCGCATATTTCACTTGTATTAGCACTCGAAGAAACTTCTCAGACTCATCTCTGTGTTATCCAACAAGCCTGAAACTTTGCGAAGCCATTCCTTATGTATATTAGCGACTTTTCATCAGAGTACCCCATCGAATATTGTATATTCATCGAGCAACGAGTGGTACAAATGTTCTTAAAAATCACAAACAAATATTTTGAATTTTCCAAACGCATTTCAATATTTTGCGGGGTACTCTGACCAAAAGATTCCTTTTATCATTAATTTTAAGGAAAACAAATCACGTTTATTAAGTTATTTTCGCTGATGAGTTATTGATCCAAGAAGCAGTCTGGGTGTCATGCAAGTGGTGTCGGCATTCCTTAAATTCCTCGGATTCCTTTTACTGTACCCCCCGATTGATGTTTTTTTTCATTTCCTCAACTTAACTCGTATCTGCAGTCGAATTTTGAAGGAATATGGATAAATAAAAAGTATCAAACATCTAGAATCAAAATGGCCCAGAATTTTCAAAATTAGCCTCCGGTACTACCTTAAGTGAAATATTTAACCATGGTCATCAATTTCAATTTACAAACCCGGAGAACAATCTGATTTGGCCGTATCATTTTCAGGGGTTTTCCCAACACATTTTGGGCAGACGAATGTGTCTTCTTGTGCATAGCACCTGACTGAGCCACTCTCAGAGACGTGAACACCAGAAGAAAATAATTGGTTGGATTCAAATCCACATGAGCATTTCTCTGTGAAAATTTGTCCTCTGCCATATC